AGAAAATAGATATTTTATAGAGGTTAGGATACATATGAAGTTTAAATAAATTACTTGTTGAAAAGTTAGAAATGATGACCAAGTACCATGAAAACATGTATAGCCTAAATTAATATACATTGAGAGTGTGGTTGGTATTTTTTTAACAACACTAAAGTGTCTAAAATTAAATATAGCATTTTTCAGAAAATTCAATTTTGTCAAAGGGGTTAACCCACAAATTTCAAGAAAAATTAGAAATTTTTTACTTTTTTGTTTTATTGCATATTTGCATCATCAGCTGAAAAAATATGAATATTAAATAGGTTTGAGACCTTATGTGTTCTCATTTCTCTAGAATATAGAGATTTTATAAGGGTTAGGATACATATGAAGTTTAAATATAATACTCGTTAGAAAGTTAGAAATGATGACCATGTACCATGAAAATATTTTTAGCCTATATTAATATACATTGAGAGTGTGTTTTGGTATTTTTAAATAACACTAAAGTGTATAACATTAAATATAGCATTTATCGGAAAATTCAATTTTTTCAAAAGGGTTAACCCACATATTTCAAGAAAAATTAGAATTTTTTTTTATTTTTGGTTTATTGAATATTTGCATCATCAAATGACATAGTATGAATATTAAAGAGGTTTGAGACCTTATATGTTCTCATTTCTCTAGAAAATAGATATTTTATAGAGGTTAGGATACATATGAAGTTTAAATAAATTACTTGTTGAAAAGTTAGAAATGATGACCAAGTACCATGAAAACATGTATAGCCTAAATTAATATACATTGAGAGTGTGGTTTGGTATTTTTAAACAACACTAAAGTGTCTAAAATTAAATATAGCATTTATCGGAAAATTCAATTTTTTCAAAGGGGTTAACCAACATATTTCAAGCAAAATCAGAAATTTTTCAATTTTTGGTTTTATTGCATATTTGCGTCATCAACTGACATATAATGAATATTAAAGAGGTTTGAGACCTTATGTGTTCTCGTTTCTCTAGAAAATAAAGATTTTATCGAGATTAGGACACTAATTAGATTGTATATGAAGTTTTAATAAATTACTCGTTGGAAAGTTAGAGATGATGACCATGTAACATGAAAAGATGTTTAGCCTACATTAATATACATTGAGAGTGTGGTTTGGTATTTTTTAACAACATTAAAGTGTCTAAAATTAAATATAGCATTTATCGGAAAATTCAAATTTTCTAAGGGGTTAACCCACATATTTCAAAAAAAATTAGAAATTTTTGAATTTTTGTTTTATTGCATATTTGCATCATTAACTGACATAGAATTAATATTAAATAGGTTTGAGACCTTGTGTGTTCTCATTTCTCTAGAAAATATAGATTTCAGAGGGGTTAAGACACTAATTAGATCGTATATGAAGTTTAAATAAATTACTAGTTAGAAAGTTAGAAATGATGACCATGTACCATGAAAATATGTTTAGACTACATTAATATACATTGAGAGTGTGTTTTGGTATTTTTAAACAATACTAAGGTGTGTAAAATTAAATATAGCATTTATCGGAAAATTCAATTTTTTCAAAGGGGTTAACCCACATATTCCAAGAAAAATTAAAAAAAAATTATTTTTGTTTTAATGCATATTTGGATCATGAACTGACATAGTATAAAGATTAAAGAGGTTTGAGACCCTATGTGTTCTTATTTCTCTAGAAAATAGATATTTTATGAGAGTTAGGACACTAATTAGATCATATATAAAACTTAAATAAATTACTCGTTGGAATGTTAGAAATGATGACCTTGTACCATGAAAATATGTTTAGCCTACATTAATATAGATTAATAATGTGGTTTGGTATTTTTTAACTACACTAAAGTGTTTTAAATTAAATATAGCATTTTTCAGAAATTTCAATTTTTTCAAAACCCACATATTTCAAGAAAAATTAGAATTTTTAATTTTTGTTTTATTGCATATTTGCATCATCACCTGACATAGTATGAATATAAAGAGGTTTGAGATCTTATGTGTTCTCATTTCCATAGAAAATAGAGATTTTATGTAGTTAGGACACTAATTACATCGTATATGAAGTTTAAATAAATTACTTGTTAGAAAGTTAGAAATGATGACCATGTACCATGAAAATATGTTTAGACTACATTAATATACATTGAGAGTGTGTTTTGGTATTTTTAAACAATACTTAAGTGTGTAAAATTAAATATAGCATTTATCGGAAAATTCAATTTTTTCAAAGGGGTTAACCCACATATTCCAAGAAAAACTAGAAATTTTTTTATTTTTGTTTTAATGCATATTTGAATCAGGAATTGACATAGTATAAATATTAAAGAGGTTTGAGACCCTATGTGTTCTCATTTCTCTAGAAAATAGAGATTTTATTGGAGTTAGAACACTAATTAGATCATATATGAAATTTAAATAAATTACTTGTTGGAATGTTAGAAATGATGACCTTGTACCATGAAAATATGTTTAGCCTACATTAATATATATTAAGAATGTGGTTTGGTATTTTTTAACTACACTAAAGTGTTTTAAATTAAAGATAGCATTTTTCAGAAATTTCAATTTTTTTCAAAGGGGTTAACCCACATATTTCAAAAAAAATTAGAAATTTTTTTATTTTTGTTTTATTGCATATTTTCATCATCACCTGACATAGTAAGAATATTAAAGAGGTTTGAGACCTTATGTATTCCCATTTCTCTAGAAAATAGAGATTTTATCAGAGTTAGGACACTAATTAGATCGTATATGAAGTTTAAATAAATTACTCGTTAGAAAGTTAGAAATGATGACCATGTACCATGAAAATATGTTTAGCCTATATTAATATATATTGAGAGTGTGTTTTAGTATTTTTAAACAACACTAAATTGTATAAAATTAAATATAGTATTTATCGGAAAATTCAGTTTTTTCAAAGGGAGTTCACCCACATATTTCAAGAAAAATTAGAATTATTATTTATTTTTGTTTTATTGCATATTTGCATCATCAAGTGACATATTAAAGAAGTTTGAGATCTTATATGTTCTCATTTCTCTAGAAAATAGATATTTTATAGGGGTTAGGATACATATGAAGTTTAAATAAATTACTTGTTGATGTACGCTGGCTATCTTATTATTGGAAACATAGGAAGGGATAATAGGGGTGTGATCACGATACCTACACAACCAAAGTTCTTCTTAGCTGTATTGTTTCGTTGTTATTGTAGTTTGGTGTTCAGATGTTACATGTTACATTGAGGTCTTTAAGAGTTTTTTTTTTGTTCTTTATGGATCAGTTATATGTTTAATCTTGTGCACTGAGTTTATATTAATACATTTCATATATGATATGATCAGTGTTGAAACAAATGTTTGATAAAAGTAGTTGATTTATTGAGTTCTCTCTTCCTTTGTTTACAACAACAAAGTAAGAAATGTTCCACTCTCCCACCATGGCTATTCACCGGTACAAGACAACACATTATTGTAACAAAACCAAGTCCTCTAAGAAGTTAAAACGTGTTTGAAGTTGATCTCGGAGAGAACCTCCTTTATACAAATACAATTGGAAAAACAAACAGAGGAAGAAAGAGAGAAACTCTTGCATGATGGAACGAAGGTTAAGGGCTGTGTGGAAACCAAAATGCTCTGGTTTAGGAAAAGAAGATCATCAGCTTCCATTATCAAACATGTAACACGCCATAAAAAAAAACATAATAGTCTCCCATATATATTATAAAAACCAAATTCATACAAAGTACGATATAACACAACACAATTGCCTTGACAAGGAGAGTACCTCAACTTCTCAAGACATTATTCATTATTAAGAAGCAAAAACAGAAAAGCTCAAAAGTAGTTTTAGATAATAAAGTTCTGCTAGATTCCCTCGTCCTTCTCGTCCTCGCTGCTGCAGCTACTATTGTTGCTGCTCCACTCACACTTCAATGTAGATCTAGGCGACCCACAGTACTTGCCTAGCTTCTCAAACGTCTGATACATCATTGTCCCACTCTCTTCTCCCAAAGCCTCAAATGTCCTCTCTCTGCATCCATAATCTTCCAAGTCTACACTGATCTCCGGCTTGTACGCATTCACCCCAACGCTCGAGTGCACTGCCACAGAGAATTGCTTCGGCTCAAAGCAAGACAGGACCCTTGTCACAAGCTGGCTCAGGTCCATAGTGTTGAAGTCATAACCCACAGCTTCGAAGCTAGCGTAGCTAAACCCATCCTCAGGGGTCACATGGATAGTGGAGATCGCATCTCCTTCAATGGAGTTCATAGAGTAGCCACAGGGCTCAAATTCAAAGTCGCAGATCTGGGAGTTAGGGAGGATCTTTCTGATTCCAGAGTTGTCAGTCATAGATCCTGTCTCGCCAGTTTCATTCTTGTAGAAAACAGAAGCTTTCTCCCTGTCAAGACCAGTCATGCACATCTCAAGCGTGTAGACATTGCTGTCCCTGGAGGACTGAGCAGAGGAGGCAGCATAGACATGCCATTTCTTAGTCTCGTCATCATTACCCATCAAGTAGGCAACGCTGTCCAAACCCAGCTTAGAAAAGTGACCATCAAGAACAGAGACTTCTTCAGAGAAGCTCCTGTGAGGAAAAGGCTGGCCGCCAGGGCAGATGAAGGAGCCACGAGTGTATTTAACAGACTTGACACTCAGAGAGAGCTCACCAGCCAGCTCAAGAAGCGGTGGGATAGAGAGGAGGAGCTTAGTGGTGCCACAAGTCTTGATGATGACTTTGTAAGGGTAGACAAAGAAGCTGGACTCAGAGAGGACGTAAGAGTCCAAGAGATCGTTGGAGAGAGAAGAAACGATCTCGCAAGCAGCAGGAGTGAGTATTTGGTCCAGCTGGGACCTGGTCAGAGCACGGAGACCCAGTCCCTTGGAGTCTTGGAAGATGCTTGGCTCAAAGAAAGAGACCTCGAGGCGCTTCTCGTAGCCTTCGAAACCGATTGCAGATAAGGCCATGTTGCCTTGTTGTAGGAGGAGAGAACGATTGGATTGGGGAACCAGCAGAAACGGAGCTTAGAAGAATGTAAATTACGAACTGGAAAGTAAAGAAAGCAATAACTATATTAGGAGACTCGGTGCACGCTACAACTCAGGATGGCCTCTTAGCGCACTGCAAAGAAAACAAAAACAAAAACAAAACCGTTTGTTAAGAAACTTGATATTGTCATGAAGGGAGAGAGAGTAATAGAAATGATGGGAACAAGGAAGGTTACGTTGGAGTAGACAGAAGATTTGAATTTCTTGATACCACCGTTGGGGCGAACGTCTTCAATGCTGTAACCGAGGGGAGCTTCGTAAAATAAGGAACTACTACTGGACTTCTTTTTACCACCTTTCGATTCCATCACAATCTCATTCACGCTTTCTGTTATTACAAGACCAAAACACACATATGTATTAGCTAAAGAGGAGAAAGAGAGAATCAATGTTCAAAGTTAAAAATTTTCTATTACAGATCTCAAATAATTATTTAGAATATCGGTTATCTTTAACAATGATGAACCTAGGTTACTTCTAATCCAAAAAAACGTAAGCTTTAAACGATTTGTAACCTAATGAATTTCAATATCAATCTGGATCAGAATTATAAATCATCATACAAAAAAAAACTAAGAGGACAGATGTGAATCAATCAAAAAGGTAGATCAAACGTTAGAGATGCTTACATATAATATATGAATTTAGATCAAGACCACGAATTACAATATCCCTCCTTTTCCAGATATCAAATTAAACCTGAAAGTTAAACCAATAAATAATTCTTCGTTAAGAATGCAATTTCATCAAATGAGCGATCAGATCTAAGAAAGTGAAATTGATTAGAAGACAGATAGATCGAAAGAGAACAAAAGCTCACCAGATCAAGATGATTCAGGGAAACCGAAAGACTTTGAACAATAAAACTCTTGGGACGATTTCGAAAAGATAAAAAAGAAAACCTTAATTCGAGAGAAACGCTTTTTGAATGATTTTGGTAATGATGCTGTAATGAAGAAGCGTTCCTGAGGAGAAAACATACGTAAAGAGTCCTTTATATAAGCTGTCCTAAAGACTTGTGCGCCACTTTAAATTACGTGTTTACCCTTCAACCTTGATAAGAAACGTTTTCGCGTTACAATAAGCTCTCCTCAACCGTTCATTTTTATTTTCTTTTCAAACGATTTACTAAAATTACTCTTTAAACCCTTTTTAATATGTGGAAACGGTAGGTGCGTTTTAAATTTCTTTTTTGCCTGCTTCCACTAGGAAAATTGTTTAATTCCTTAACATTCTTTTTGAACATGCACTATATTTTAGGACAATTATCTTTCGGCTGAGTAAAGAAGATACGTGTATCGATTGGGCGGATAACTCGAAGTGAGCTGTCTCTCACGTAACTTGGCCCGAGAGAATTAATTTTTTTCCTCTCAGAGGCCTACTCTCTCACACCTGCACCGCTAAATGACAAAACGACCCCTCCCGTGACTCACTCATGACTCATGACCCAATTTGTCAACAAGAGTACAACATAAATACAATTTTGTAAAACGTAAATCTAATTAACATTGACCTTTATGCAATTCTTTAAGTCAAAAGGCAAACCCAATCAACATAATTATGCGATTACTCTAGTCAAACATATATTTAAAGCTTTTTCTATAATGATTTACCTTTTTAAATTAATAATGAGATTTCTTTCTACAAATACAAGTCACTATCTACAAATAGCTGGATGGATCATATACCTTCTTTACCAAGATATTGCTAAAAAGAATCAAAGCGTTTCTGATAAGAATTTCACCCCTCCACACACCTAATTTGACCAGTATGATATAAAATGAATATATTCCAACCAACAAAAGATAAAGAATGAGTAAAGAACTCAAATTCATGAAGTTGACAAAAGAAAAGAAAAAAAAACTCAAATCCCTACGTATGGGTACATGTTATTTGCCAAACCGGTTTTCTTATGATTGAACCGGTTTGGCCATCAATAAAGCATTTATTTGCTACAAGTGGTAATTACCACCTCACGTAAGCTCATATCACCAAACAATAATTAACAACATTAATGCCTCCATTGTTCACTAGAAGGAGTAAAGCTAAAAGTTATCCATCAAACAAACCTAATCATGTCCTCAGATTAGCCCATTCATATCCAATGGGCCATTGTGTGATTGTGTCTTACTTTTAGATTGGATAATCCATTCATGATCATAATATTTATATTTTTTTTCGTTGAGATTGTTTGGAGCGAGCTTCTTATCCTCTCAATTGAAACAGCCGTCAGCTTCAAGACGATAACTTTTCCCAATTCCATCTCCAATTCAATCTTCTCACGAGCATCTCGCATTTGTCTACGTAAGATATTGGTTTCGTTTCAATGTTTCGCCCACTTATGATGAAGAACAACGCATGATTCAGTTTCCAGGAAACAGAGTCAATGGCTACTACTTTCAGTGTTCTCTGTAGTGATCGGTTTCATCTGAAAGGATTTAATAATCCTTCAGAGAGATTCAGTGGAACAGTGTACTCGAGGATTAGTCAGCTTAATGTTAGTGTCGCTCGGACAAAGAATCTGTCGCTCAGTTGTAAGAGACTTGGTCGGTTTTCTTGTAATAGCGAAGTTAAGCGACTAGTAAATGGGGATTATGGTGAAAATGATGGAGACAAAGGAACGCGAAGAAGAAGGTTTTCTCTCAGGCTTCGACCTAGATTACGTTTACTGAGCATGAGACTTGGGAGATTCAATCTCAGAGCCTCATTGGAAGATTTCAGATTGTTTCTGAGAAAGAATCTCAAAAGAGTGATCTTATCTACCGGTGTAGCTGTTATCTTTGGACTGTGTTATCTGTTCTTGAGGTTAACCTCTGTTCCATCTCCATCCATTGTTCCATACTCAGACTTCGTAACGAATCTTCAAGGCGGTTCTGTTTCAAAGGTTTTGCTCGAAGAAGGTTCTCGTAGAATCTATTACAACACTAACGAGGAGAATGTTGAAGATGTTCACAAGTCTGAGTCTTTAGAAGAAGAACCCGCGACCGAAGTAGCTGTTACGAAAGATGTTCGAAAGGTTCGAGCTTTGGCTCCTGTGTGGAAGTATGTGACGAGGAAAGTAGATCATGATGAGAAGTTTCTTCTTAGTTTGATGAGGGAGAAAGGGATTACTTATAGCTCAGCTCCTCAATCTGCTTTGAAGTCAATGAGAACTGTTTTGATAACAATCATCACTCTTTGGATTCCTTTAACTCCTCTTATGTGGCTTCTCTACCGGCAAATCTCAGCATCTAACAGCCCTGCGAAGAAACGACGCTCTAAAAATCCCACAGTTGGATTTGATGATGTTGAGGGCGTTGATTCCGCTAAAGACGAGCTCGTTGAGGTACTAATAAGTTTCAGTAGATTTTGTTTTTTTGTTTAAAATCCAACCTTGATGTTTTTATGCTGTCTTTTATGTGTAGATAGTGTCATGTCTTCAAGGAAGTATAAACTACAAGAAACTAGGAGCAAGGTTACCAAGAGGTGTGCTTTTAGTTGGTCCACCAGGGACAGGTAAAACCTTGTTGGCTCGAGCTGTAGCTGGGGAGGCTGGAGTTCCGTTCTTCTCTGTTTCCGCTAGCGAGTTTGTTGAAATGTTTGTTGGAAGAGGTGCAGCGAGAATCAGAGATCTTTTCAGTGCAGCAAGGAAGAACTCACCTTCCATTATATTCATCGATGAGCTCGATGCGGTTGGTGGAAAACGAGGTAGAAGTTTCAATGATGAACGTGACCAGACCCTAAACCAGGTAAAAAGAATTCAACCTCTTAACTACCTCTAGTTACTAATTGCTGAGAGATGCTTCTTCTTCTCTTTTTGTAGTTACTTACTGAGATGGATGGATTCGAGTCAGACATAAAAGTCATTGTAATCGCAGCAACTAACCGACCAGAAGCATTAGACCCTGCTCTTTGTCGACCAGGAAGATTCTCAAGAAAAGTTGTGGTTGCAGAACCGGACCAAGAAGGACGTAGGAAAATCTTAGCCGTACATCTGAGAGACGTCCCTCTAGAAGAAGATGCGTTTCTGATATGTGATCTGGTTGCTTCTCTAACTCCCGGATTCGTAGGTGCTGATCTGGCCAACATTGTCAATGAAGCTGCATTGCTAGCTGCTCGTAGAGGTCAGTGGCCTTTTGTTTCATATAATATATTGATGTTTCCTCCTTGGTTTAAGAAAGAGATGAATGTTTTCAGGAGGGGAAGCTGTGGCAAGGGAAGATATAATGGAAGCTATAGAGAGGGCGAAGTATGGGATCAATGATAAGGAAGTGAGGCCAAGGACATTAGGGAATGAGCTGAGCAAGCTGTTCCCATGGATGCCATCTTTGGCTGGGAGGAACGGACCTGATCAAGACGGTTCACAAGGACCGTTAGGTTACCAAACATTAAGCTAAACCAAACCGGTTAGAGAGCATATCCACAGATACGAAAGTCTCTTTTGTATCTGAATTTTGTTGAAATGTAAAACGTTTTTTGTATGTGTTCCAAATCTCGCGTTTCCTTTTTAGATAAACAAATCAAATATGTTGTTAAACGCTGTCGTTTCAAAACGCAATGTAAACAAAACGTGCATTGAATAAAACGTTTACGATAATTGAACCAGAGAAACCTCTCCGGCGGAAATAACGATCGCATCGATGGCGGAAGGCGGCGATGATGGACAGCGATTGAAGAAGATTGCGGCGGCAGCTTACGAGTACGAAAACGACGCACGGTGGGTGGAGTACTGGTCGAATATTCTCATCCCTCCACACATGGCTTCTCGGCCAGAGGTCGTTGAGCATTACAAGCGCAAATTCTACCAACGCTACATGGTCCGTACTCTCTTGAATTTGCGTTTCAACTCTGAGTTCGAGTTTGACTAGTGTGAGAGCTACGGTGCTTTTTGTGAACTTCGAATCTTTTAGGTTTTAATTTGTGTTGCATTTGCTCGATTTGAAGTTTTAAATGTTCCTTCTAACTGAATATTTCGAACGTATTGGCATTTTTTTTTTTTTTGTAGGATCCTGATCTTGTTGTGGAGCCTATGTCTTCGACTTCATCTTCGCAATCTGCAAGATCATCTGCTACATCTGCATCAGCTACTCCTGCAACTGAACAAGCTCGTTCACGGAACTCTGGTGGAATTTTTTGTTTGTTTGTCATGAACTTTCTATTTAATGCTTATATGAGATGAGTTTACTGAGTTACAACTCTGTGTTGTGTATCACAGGATCTGTTCCTCGAACAACTGGGCCATCTGCTACTGCAGGTGCAAATCCAAGTTCAGGGCGTTGGGATCAGCAGACTATTCTGTTTTCTGTCAATGCTTGGGTACTATTATGTTTTCTCTTTTCCACTTTCTTGTTCTTGGTGCAAGTGAAAACAATAATGAGCCTATGTGTGCTTTTCTCTTCGTATTTTATTCCTTATGCAGTGAACTCCTGCCTTCTTCTTAATTTTACTAGACTTTTTTCTTATTAAAGGTTTTGCTTCTTATTATGGCTCTGAGTTTGGACTACTTTTATTTTCTGCTGTTGAATCCTTTACTTGAATGAGATGTTGTGTGGGGTTATGTCTTTTGTTCTCATGTCTTGATGTGCTTGTTATACTCAGATATGAACTAATCAAGACTAGAGCGTTTTGTCTGGCATACTTCGCTTAACTAGTTTGTTTTTTCCTTGTCTACTCTCTTAATCTATTTCATCTTTTGCAGGTGTTTGTTATAGCGGTGCTGGCAGTGTTACCTCTTGTACCAAAGAACCTCTCTAATAGAGCTTATCGTCTATCTTTCATGGGAACTGCGTGCTCATCTCTATATTCCTTGTACTCTCTTTACGGGGTACGCCCATATGATCTCCCTTTTCTACTCTCTAGAATCCATTCAGTGTCGAATTTCCTTTTGTAAGCCTAGTTTTGTTATTATATGCAGAGGCCTAGGGAATGGAATATGCAAGGGCTGCAAGTTTATTTTCAATCAATTGTGGGAGCAAAGGATTTCATCTATTTCATCTACTGCCTTACATTTGTCACTTCACATCTCTGTCTCAAGTGTAAGAGTTGATTGCGTTTTTTGTTCATTTGCTGAATGAAATAGTTAATCACTTCACATCTAATGATTTAGTCTCCTCATTGATTTGTTGCAGTTGCTTTGATTCCCATCTTGTGTCGAGCACTTGAGCTAGTAGCCAAGTTTTTGAGGCGTAATTTCGCTCGCTCCACCATATACAGGTAGTTTGCATCCTGCTGATCAGCAGATTTTCATTTGTGAATTCTTACCGTTGCTTACCTCTTGTTCTGTGTCCTATTTCGTAATGGTTATCAGAAAGTACTTGGAAGATCCTTGCGTGTGGGTGGAGTCTAACACAACTACCCTTAACATCCTCTCATCGCAGGCCGAGATAGCCATTGGCTTCCTTCTGATTATCTCTCTGCTCTCGTACGCTAAGTTTTTTTGGCATTAAATTCCTTGGAAACCCTTTGAAATAAACTGAGTTCATATTTGAATATTATGCCTGCTCTGATTCGAACTGCATTTACTCGTTTTCAATCATATGATAAAAGCTGTCATTTTACTTACTGCAGATGGCAACGCAACATTATACAGACATTCATGTATTGGCAGGTACGTCTATTCAAATGTTTTTCTTGCTTTACTGTTGGCTCGAGTCGTCATATTTCTCTGTCACTGAAACTTAGTGTTACATGTACTAAGAGTCTAAGACCATAAGCTCTGTAATTGGAGGTCTGTTTTGCTCCTTATGGTGAAAAGCATTTGTGTTTTGTGTCTTTTCAAAACCCTTTTTATCATTTTCTCCACTTACATAGATAAATGCAGTTTCCAGGATTGTTGGTCTTTCACATTTAGAGGTTTTCTCATTATTGAATAAGCACAGACCTAAGTTTAGTTGTGTTTATTTGGTGGGCAGCTATTGAAGCTGATGTATCAAGCACCAGTAACAGCAGGATACCACCAGAGCACGTGGAGCAGAGTAGGGAGGACGGTGAATCCAATTATCCAACGGTACGCTCCCTTCTTGAATACTCCGGTCACTGCCGTCCAGAGATGGTGGTTCAGGTGAAAAGCCAACAGAAAAATGCAGAGGTGACTTTTGAAACCTCATTAAAACAAAAGAAAAGGTTTCAGCTTTGTTTTTCATTTCATCTTTCAGCGTAAAGTAGATTATTCTTGTCCTTTACGATTTTTTTTGGCTAAAGATTTCGACTTTCTCTTTTGGTATTACATGTGTAATTGATTATACTTTTCCCAATATAATCTAAAATATCCTATGGCCCTGTAAAATCGGTTTAGAGTGTAAGAAAGCAAAAATTTAGATATTAATTTAATTTATCGTGCTAAGAATCAAAGATATTGCAAGAAATATATGATATTTATAGTAATCGTAATTGATTGGTTGTTTGTGAATGAGTGAGTTTTGCTCGGAAAAGGGGAGATCTACAATATTGTATTCTAAAGATGAGAAAAAAGATAATAATAGGAACAAAAGAGGATGTCATTATTGATTTGGATTCTTCTCATGGTTGGTGCTCGTGCCACCGCTAAGTTTACCCATCACGTTCTATGATGTGGATCTCGCGGTACCATGTGGCGTTCATACACAAACTATCCCAATAGTTACAAGTGTTGAGACATCAAAACACAAACCATTACCTATAGCGTTTACGTTAGTGGTTTACCTTGCATTCGAACGTAATCCATTATTCTTCTCATCCTAATTTATTGTGGTGTATCGTATCACAAGTTGTTTAATATAATAAGCTCCAAATACCGTTTTAAGATAAAATAAGTACATATAGATTTTTCATTTCGGAAGGTAATAGTAAGAGATTCCAAATAAAACTAGTAATTAGGACGTGACGACTCCGTTTTACAGCGTATTGTATTTTGTGACGAGGGAGCGCACATGCTTAAATAGCTTTTTCAAAAAGTTTGAAATAATAAAAAAACAGAACCTGATCAAATAATAAAAGCCAAGAGGAGGAGAGACCAAACACGAACGAGAGAGATCCAATATTTTGTTTCACGGTGGACATGCAATCATCTTCAGAGATTCACCATCATGACAGATGCCGTCCAGTGTTTCCAACGGGGGAAAATATTGGCCCAGCGGATTCCGACAAAATGGAGCAGCTTCACGACTCACCAGGAAAGGTTCGTCGTAGAGTATTCGGAAAGTCTTCAGCGCCTCAAATTCGCAGGCAGAAGTCGTTTGGTCACGACATAGGCCATGCAGCGGCGGAAACGTATTTGATAACTCGTCTTAGCTTCGACCTTCTTGGATATCTCGGGTACGTATTTCGTTTTTTTTTAACATGCCCCCACTCGCATAGATATGGCGTCGAGTACTTTGTAAAGGGTATAATTGTCTTCTGGATGAATTATTATAGCACATTTTTGCATTTAATATTAATGAGTTATATGGTAATCTTGTGACATGTGATGTAATAAACAGAGAGAGAGCTTGTGTTTTTAATGGTTGCAAGTTTTTGATTCAGGGTAGGTTATCGGTGGATCACAAGATTACTTGCTCTTACTTGTTATGCAATCCTCCTTATGCCTGGATTTCTTCAAGGTGATCTATCCTCTTTACTGATAAACGAGTGGAAGCTATTTTTTTAACTAATTAAACAAGCTTGTTGGTGTTTTTTTTTTTTTTTTGCTTCTGCAGTTGCATATCATTATTTTTTCTCACCTCAAGTTAGGAGGAGTATAGTATATGGAAATCAACCTAGGAATAGGTACACAACCATTGCCTTCTCCCTTCACTTCCATATCACAAATGATTGATTAATCTAAGTTTATCTTTGGCAGGCTGGATTTGTACATACCACCAACAAATGATGGCCTTAAGCCGGTTGTAGTTTTTGTTACTGGTGGAGCTTGGATTATCGGGTAATCCACTCTCATCTTTTCTACTTAATATTAGTTTGGACTTACTGTAACATATTACTGGCTATAGTAACATAAATGCAGAAATTTTCTTCTAGTAGGTCTCTTGGTTAACTTTGATGCAACACTATGATCCTAAAGCTACATCTTCTCTTACAATTTAGGTACAAAGCTTGGGGTTCTCTCTTGGGACTGCAGCTAGCAGAAAGGGATATCATTGTTGCATGTCTAGATTACAGGTAATTAAATAAATTAAACAACCTCTTCCTGTTTTAATCTAACTTTATCAACAAATACACATGTATATCCCTCACATAAACCAAACATCTTTTTTGTCCAGAAACTTTCCTCAGGGAACAATTAGTGATATGGTAAGAGATGTTGCTCAAGGAATCTCGTTTGTCTGCAATAACATCTCTGCATTTGGAGGCGATCCTAATAGGTACTTGGGGTTATATTGGATTCTCTATATTTCATAGGCTCTTCCGATGATTAAACCATGTCTGCTTGTTTGTGTAGAATATATCTGATGGGGCAATCAGCTGGTGCACATATTTCTTCTTGTGCTCTCATCGAGCAAGCCATTAAAGAATCAAGAGGAGAAAGAATCTCATGGAGTGCCTCTCAGATAAAAGCTTACTTTGGTTTATCCGGCGGGTAAACTGTTATTTGACTTAATGTTACTTAATTACCATTAAGCTTAAATTTGTTCACCATTTGCAAACATGTAATAGGTACAATCTCTTCAATATGGTCGAACACTTCCATAACCGAGGCTTATATCGTTCTATTTTCCTTAGGTAATTTTGCTTAGACGCCATATGTTCAATTATGTCTTTTATTTGTAAGATATTATGGTTATTTATTTACTGATCAACTTTGCAGCATAATGGAAGGAGAAGAGTCGTTTGAACAATTCTCTCCTAGCATCAGATTAAAAGAGCCGAGAGTAAGAAAAGCTGCATCTCTCTTGACTCATATTGTGCTTTTTCATGGATCAGAAGACTACTCCATCCCATCTGAAGCAAGGTTAGATCACCCGTCTAAGAATCTGGACAATATAATAGTTTAAATCATCTTAAAAACAGACAAATGTTGTTTTCTTTTGTAGCAAAACGTTTGCAGAAGCTCTTCAAGGTGTTGAAGTCAAAACTGATCTAATTGTGTACAATGGTAAAACTCATACTGATCTGTTTCTTCAGGTAAGCAAAAAAAAAACATGTGTATATAATAACAAAGTAATGGGATAACCATAATTTTCTTTCATTGCAAAGGATCCTTTGAGAGGAGGTAAAGACGAGCTGTTTGATCATATAGTCGCTATGATACACACTAATGACAATGACGCTTTGATTAAAGATGCGGTTGCACCGCCGAGAAGACGACTTGTGCCAGAGATTTTGCTGAAACTGGCTGGCAAGGTCAGCCCATTTTGAACTGAAAAATTAATAGTTTATCCGTCTCTTGTAGCTTTGTTGATTTCTCAACTTTTCTTGTTATGTATTTTCTTCTTCAATTGTTTTATTTTCTTTATCAAAAGTAAGTATATACTTTGATATGTAAAAAAATTCACATGTTGATATGATTGAATTTAGCCTCTCTTTTCCTAAGCAAAGGCACTAAAAGTTTAACATGTATAAACTCTTGACAACAAAACAATATGGTTCCAAAAGAGTAAAAACTAAAGAAAGTTAACTACTCAGATGATCAGTATATCATATGTTCAATCATGTACAAATTAATGCACACACTGCCTTTTCCATTAGCTAGCTTATGCTCTGCATATGTTGGTGAAATCTCAGAGATCCACTTCAGCATAATGATATTTTTATAGAAAGATAGGAACATAAAGTTAGAGAGATGAGTTGTTTTTAGGTAGTTAGTAAATTTAGATGTTTTTTGTGTATATAGGAGCAAGTTTAAATAGAACCCACACAGTATTTCAAAAATAGAGAAAAGAACCAATTAGAACGAAAATACTTGAAAAACTTTTTAAGTTATACAAATCATAACATAGGCCACAGTAATTTCACAAACCGAGAAACAACACAATCGGTGTGAAAAAATATTATTGGAGAGAAAGAGAGAGAGAGAGAGAATCATAATCATTCATCACATGTTGGATTTGGATTGCCTTGCGATCTTGAACCACTCGGTGTGGAAAGAGCCTTCCACATCAGTCCTTTCATAAGTATGAGCACCAAAGTAATCTCTCTGAGCTTGGACAAGGTTCGCTGGCAACCTCTCTCTCCTGTAAGAATCAAAGTACGCCAAACTCGCAGACATACCTGGCGTGCTAATACCCGAGTTGATACTCAAGCAGACCACTCTTCTCCAAGCTGACTGCCTCTCGATGATCTCTTTTGCAAACTCAGGATCCACCAAGAGGTTAGCCAGCTCTGCGTTCCTGTCATAAGCTTGCTTGATCCTGTCCAAGAAGATTGCTCTGATGATGCAACCTCCTTTCCAGATCCTAGCCAGCTCACCTAGCTTAAGGCCCCAGTCTTTCTCCATGCTCTTGGCTCGGATTAGGTTCATCCCTTGTGCGTAGCTGCAGATTTTCGACGCGTAAAGCGCCTTCCTCACGTCATCGATGAGCTGTTTCTTGTCAACGGTTTGGTCAGTTAAGACATCTCCAAACCCACTTTCTTTGAAGACTTTAGCGGCTTGCACACGCTCATCTTTTAGCCCGCTGAGGAACCTCGCATCAAGAGAGGACTCAATGGTGGGAGAAGGAACAGATAGCTCAGCTGCTTGCTGCACAGTCCATTTCCCGGTTCCTTTCATTCCTGTTTTGTCTAAAACCTTGTCAACCAAATGACCATCTCCCTTATCGTCCTTGATCCCGAAGATATCCGCTGTTATCTCAATCAAAAAACTCTCGAGCTCACCTTTGTTCCACTCGGTGAAGACACTGTGAAGCTCCTCGTTCGAAAGCTTACCAACGGATTTCAAGACATCATAAGCTTCTGCAATCAGCTGCATGTCACCGTACTCAATCCCGTTATGGACCATTTTAACAAAGTTTCCAGACCCACCTTTCCCAATGTAAGTCACACAAGGACCACTGTCCCTAACCTGAGCTGCAACCTTGAGAACAATGTCTTCAATGTTCTTGTAGGCTTCATAAGAGCCTCCAGGCATTAGAGACGGACCGTTACGGGCACCTTCTTCACCACCAGAGACTCCCATTCCAAGGTAGAGGAAACCATTCTCAGCCACAGCTTTTTCTCTCCTCTCGGTGTTCTCATACCATTCGTTACCACCGTCCACAATGCAATCACCTTTTTCTAGATAAGCAGAGAGGGTTTTGATGGTCTGGTCAACGGGTGCACCGGCTTTGACGAGCATGATTATGACACGTGGCTTCTGGATGGAGTTGACGAAAGACTCAGGGTCATGGAAGCCATAGACGGGGAGGTTTCCTTCTTTCTTGGCTCGTTCAACGGTCTCGTCGACTTTAGAAGTGGTTCTGTTGTAGACAGAGATTGGGAAGCCTTTCTCAGCAATGTTGAGAGCTAAGTTCTGACCCATCACAGCCAATCCTGCTAGACCTATTCTTGTTGGTTGAGCAGCCATTGTATTCGTCTTCTTCTTCTTCTTTCTGCTGAAATTAAAAAAAAAAACAGACAAATCTCAAATCTAGAACAAAGAGACACATCAAAACATCTACTTAATAGGTAAGTGATGAGATCAAAATGCAAACTTGGCTTCAAAGTGTCAATAAACCAATAGATTCAACCAGGAATCAAAATATCTAACGCATAATCGATACATGCAACTACAAAATAGTGCTAAATCAACAAGAAGAATATTATTACAGATCTAGAATACAATTGACGACCAAAGATCGAAGAACCAATTACTATCGATATACACAAATATTATAATGAGAAAAAAAAACTAAAGAGAGAGTGATCTGAGAAACAAAACCTGTTTGCTCACGAAATGGATTTGAGATTTTACAGAAAAGATCTGAAACACGTAAGAATTTCAGAGACGGGTGATTTGTAACAGAGAGATATATAGCAAATGAACGGTCTGATTCGCACCAAATATAAATAATTATTATTTTTATTTCTGAAAGTAATTGTCAAGATTGGCCACTCTGCGTTAGGTGAGAAAAGGTGGGTGGGTTGGGTTGTTGTGGATCTTCTATATTGGATCCTATTATATAGAAAACTATATCAAAATACATTATTCTTTTATTAGTTTCTCTTAATTTGATCATTTCATATACCAAATTTCCACTAATTATAAAGTAAGTAATTAAATCATCGTAATTATTACAAAAAAGTAATATCATCATATCCTTTATTGCGTTTAATCATTTCTAAATAACACTTTTCACTACTGTGTTCCTAGTCAACTCCTTTTTAAGGTTTAAATCTTGAAACAAATTTGAAAATTTTGTAAATATCTTAACCACATTCATTAGTTTAAATGGATTTGCTATTACATTCTGTTTAATTTATTTTCTTGGACGTTCAAACTTGAAAAATGAAATTAAAACACAAAGTTTGACATTAATGCACATGTACTTGCAATAGAGTGTTTCACTCCAAGAAAAAATCCTCATTCACCACCAAATAAATGCTTTGAAATTACTCTGAAGCTTTAATTTTGAGTTCATACACAAGTCAATATCTAATGTGAGTGAATAAATGATAATTAAAAAACATATGTTAAATTATTAGTGTATTCAGTTGTTTACAAAGAAGCAATGTATCATTCAAACATCGGGTTCAACTGCATGTCTTTGAGCTTCATCTCCATACGAAGCATTTTTCACATTTCTTCAATCCATTGCTATGAGGCAAAACGATTGTATGAGCTTTGTGTACTCATCTCTTCTAATTTTCACCCCAAACAAATCTATGTCTTGAAAAAACTTCACAATATACTTCAACAGTTCAGTCTTGAAATAGCTTTGAATGAGTGTTTGATATGTCACATGAATAAGCAATTCTCATGCTTATGTTTAACTTCTGTGAGAATCTCTTGAGATTGGTTCATAAGGCCTCGATTAGCCTAACTGCTAATGACCGTGGTGTATGTGTACACATCTTGTACAAACACATGTGCTCTCCATTTGCTTCAAAACCTTGCTGCCTCCATCAGGATCTCAATTTCTTGAATAAGCATACACAACCACATTAAAGACCTCATTTCCAGGAGAAGATCATCTCTAGATCATTTTCTGAAGCAAGACGTTACTCTCTTCAGCCTTTTTCTTTCTAGCGAGAGCTTTGATGAAACAAAAGATAAACCGAGGAGGGATGATTAAACTTTCATTCTTCAATCCATGACTACATTCTCATCAACGGTAAAACTAAGAATATAATGTAACTGAAATATTGACCTATTACCAAGCAATCACATTTAGATAACAAAGACCTATTACCAAGCAATCACATTTAGAAATCAAAGATATACAGTTTTGAATATTAAATCAAAATCATTTACCTTTGGGAGCATAAGGGTCCATTTCCCTCAAAGAAGCAATGTACCCTTCAGTAATTGGGTCCAGCAGCATGTTCTTGAGCTTCATCTCCATATGAAGCTTATCTGTATTTCTCCAATCCATCGCTACAACACAAAAGGACTGTATGAGCTTTGTGTACTCATCTCCCTTAGGCTTCACGCCAAAGAAATTCTCATATTGACCAGCTTTGAAAAATCTTTGAAGGAGTGTTTGATACGTCATATGACTGATCTCATGATTTGTAAATCAATAACAAACATATAGAAATGAATTTTCTATCACATGATTTGAAGGTAAATATATTAGTTTTTTATTAAAATTACGTAATTTTATTATTAATGTCAATTATATATATATAAGACAATATAATTCAAAGATATGTTCATCATCACTTCTAGAAAATTTTGAAGATGAGTTACATAAAAAATCTTATTTAAATCTATAACTTTCATATGCAAGTTTGCAATAGAAACTATATGGTAAATATATTTGATGTTTGTCTACAAACATATTTGATATTGAATTGGCTATTAAAAAAAAATTGACTGAACAACTTTTTTTTTTGAAACACTAATAAAATAATAAATGAAATTGGACTATTTATAAATTTAAAACAAATAATAGTATTTTTAAAGCGTCATAACTACTGAAACACAAAAACTAATTACAGTTAATGGCGGAAACCAAGTTATTATTCATTAATAAGTCTAACCCCAACATATACAAAAATATCTAAAATTGATGTTCAAACGTCTTTTAATATTTTTCATTTTTCCGTAAAAGAAAAACATCAAAGCACGGGTCCATATCTATTATATATAATTTTCATATTTTAATAGTTTAAGAAAACATTATGATAAAAAGGGAAATTAAAAGCAAAAAATTATGAAACAAAAAGGAAAACAATATAAAAATTATAATAATGGCATTATGCCTTGAGTTTAGTTTCTGTAAGAATTAGAAAGGGTTCCTATTGTAGATTGTTAAACTATGTTGTTGTGGTGATGAAAACAGGTATACCCAACAAGTCTGTTCAGAACAAATGGCTGTAACGACACAAGGTCAGAACCAACCAGGAAATGGCTACATCCCTGGCTGGATGCTGTGAGTGATGCCTCTGATTTGATGATGCCAATAAGATGGATCTATAAGCATGCAAATAGAGGGTTCTTGATGATGAAATGAAATGGATTATATGAACAAGTATGAAAGTTATTGAACTCTGTGTTTTTGTATGTTGCATAAGACTTGATTTGTAGACATAAGTGGCTATATATAGCTGTAATAGCCTTTTGTTTCAGGTGATGTTTGTGGCTTTTGAAACCTTTTCTTATATATATATATATATAAACGGTCTGTAATGTGTCAAAATGTTGACATTAACCATGCCTCATCTGGTTAACTACGTAATCCTGTTTTTGTATAATACAAAACACTGTTAGATGCTAACAGTAACTGCAGAGACAGCTTGCAAAAGAGGCAAATAAACTCTCAAATTAACAATGAGATTTCAACACTTCACAATGCCACCAAGATCCAGCTTTTTTTTGAAAGTCTTAAGCGTACAGAATAGGAAGTTACAATATCTGGATCTTACAGAGACAGCACAGAAATTAAAGTACTATGTCCTGAAAAGTAAAATGATACAGAGTTCTGCTGAAGAATGGACTTTCTAGTTTACTACATATGTTCAGTTGTTCAATGAGACAATGATACATGATAAATAGTAATAACTTCCGACAGTACTAAACGGTTCTAGAGTTTGGGGTTTCTGCTTTTTAGTACACTTCTTCCACATCAGCGAAGTCTCCATCAAGAAACTGCTCCCTGAAACACAACAATTCACATTGTAATTAGCTTTGCTCGATTTGGTTGGTAACAGAGAAGTTTTGCTGAAAAACAGTATTACCTGAGTCTTTCACATAGGCGGGCTAGAGCTTCGGAACCCATCCTGAATGCAACATCTTGAATCTTTGAAGCATTTGAGAGGTTCACACTATCTGCTAACTGAAACTCACATAGCTCCTTCAACGAGAATGCATCGGTTAAAACAGCTGAGTGACCACCTCCTGCTGCTAGCTTCCTCACTTGTCCTACACACCTGAAACCAACATCAAAGCTTCCCTTTAATCCAACCGAAAAATACCACAATGTCTGCATCACAAATCATCTCTTTCACAAAGCTATACCAGTCTACAGGCGATGGGTACCAAGCATATGATGATTTCTCATTTGCTGCTTGACCATAGCTATTGTATCCCCAACCACAGATCCGTCCCTCTCTCATATAGACCAGAGTGTGTGAATGTCCACAAGCAACAAGCCGGACACCGGTTGGAATGACTAAAACCGGGACATTGCGTAGAAGCATTTCGCTTCCATTAGAGATGGAAAACAAGAAACCAGATTGAGGACCAAGACCTAGCTGTCCTGCTTGGCCACCACCCCAAGCATAAAGTGCTCCTTCCACAGATAAAGCACAAGTGTGTACACCGCCACAGGCAACTTCTTTCATGGTCACACCATCGAGACCAGCGACTCGCCTTGGTATTAACTCCTTGTCCCCGGATTGAAGAGAAACATGACCTAGTTGTCCCATGCTTCCTAATCCCCAAGTGTAACTGCAAAGAGAGAGATAAGGAGTGGACACTGAATAAGATTGCTGAAAGATATTAATCAAAAGGGAGGGAGACTTGCATTTGCTTCCTCAAGCATTCCCATCTGGTAGGATGGTGATGAGATAGATATCTCCATTTTCCAGGACCCTTGCAGAGAATTGGTTACTCATGGTATGTGAACAACCACAAAGTTTTGAAGAGAAAGGTGTTTTAGAAAACTTACACCTCCCCCGTTTCTGATACAGCAGCAGTATGGTACTCCCCACATGAAACTTGCGTTATCTTCACAAGCTCAGGTGCTTCGTCAAGGAACTTGGCATAAGCAGTTATCACACGAGGTGCTTGTAGTCCTTCACAAGTGACTCCTCTACCAAGCTGACCTTGTTCATTATAGCCTTATTTTTTTTCCATAAACACACAAAAATATTAAGATCATCAATACCATTAATTCTACGACAATGTCTCAAAGCTCTTTTTTTACCCCAAGCTTGAAGAAGACCATCCTCTGATAAGGCCACAACATGAGCTGTCCCACATGAAACTTGGCGAATTGCCTAAAACATGTTAACAGCAATTCAACAGTCAATGCTCATTAATCCTTGATTCTCCATGACGAGAGAGAGTTGAGAATACATACCGTGTTAGCAGGAAATGCCCCTGAAAATAAGCGTGGCAGATTTGACCCCTACCATGAAAAGTTTTAAGCAAAATCATAAGATAATGCCACAACTTTGGTTTCAGTCACATTAAATGGGAATAAACTTCCTATATAGTACCTGGTTTTGTCCCCAAACCCATAGTCTACTCTTTGAAAGAGTAGCGTCATTTTCACGAGGTTCTGCAATAGCAGCAGTGCAGAAAGCTCCACAAGACACAAATTTCACAAACTCTGACTGCAGCTGCTTCACCTTCTTTGGATGTTTCCTCCCAACTTCCGTTCCATCCCCAAGCTGACCATATTCATTGGCACCTGAAACCATAAGAACAACCCTGACTTGAGCAAGTACATATTGTCTAAGATTCAACTCCAAGAACCATTATTTTTCCATCTAATCACATCATTTACATAAGCAAACCCGAAAACTAGAGAAAGAAAGTAACATTTCATCAAATAAAACCCCAAATGTGAAAATGAGAGAACATACCCCAAATGTGAAAATGTAAGAACAACCCCAACCACATTGAGTTAAAAAAAATCCAAAAACTAGAGAAAGGAAAAAGCTTTTCATCAAAGGTGATAAATGAGAGAACATACCCCAAGTGAAGAGAGATCCATCAGATGCAACAGCGGCTGTATGTTCCCGACCACAGGAGATATCTAGCCAACGCGAGTTGGCACCAGCAGGGCAACCAAAGAGCTCAGGAGGAAGCTGTTTCGGGATACGCAGAAGACTCTCTTGCCCTTTCCTACCGGTTTGTCCGCTTTGGTTGTATCCCCAAACGTATATGGCGCTCTTCGTTGGGATACTCACAGGAGCAGCAACTTCACCAATGATTTCTCCAATATCCATTATTTTTTGAGACAAAGAATCCTGCCACCAAAATTCGAGAAATTTATGCCTTTTATATGCATTTATCAAACGAACTAACTCTGATTTTACAAAAAATGAGCACAATCAATCACGAATTTAGAAAAAAAAAAAAAAGAGGAACTTTCACCAGTAAGATGACACAACACGCAAAGGATAATTTGATTCACAACAAATTCAAAGGAAACTAATTAACAGAAGAAGAAGAAGAGAATACCTCTAAAGATTAATGTTGAAACTTTTGACAGGAATCGAAGTTTCTGGACCTTTTTTTTTGTGTGGGTTCGGTTTGGGGGATGTTGTGTAATGTAATAAAACGGAGGGAAGGAGAGAACCAATGAGGGTCGTTCGTTCGTTCATTGTCTCCGAGACCTCTGGGTAAAAAGTTTTCTGTATATTAGCACTTTAAGTCCTTTATTTTATGAAACATTTAATTAAAAGTTCCAAAACTTTTCAACTGTTATATCTTTCCCCCAATTCATATGACTGGAACTGGATTATCAGTAATTTGTATTCTTTGGATTCAACACATAGCAAGGGAAAGTAATTTAGATAACCCACAATGATGTAAGAGTTTCGACTATTCAAGATTACAAACAGAGGCAGTTTATGGGAAGAACTGTTTCTTGTTTTGCATTTTTTTCCTCTGAGTTATGATCAGGCTGGTTATGATAAAGGCTAAAAATGTTGCAGAGGTATACAATTTTTCCCTGACTTTGCGGTTTGTGGTTATATGTTTCGTTGAATCTAGTGATCCATAGTAGCAGCACGGCAGCAGGTAAGAATCAGACAATAGTAAAAATCAGTTTGATAATGACAAGTTATGGATACAAATTCAAAAAACCTTACAGGGACAAACCGAACCAAAGTCTATATGAGATGAGAGCCGATTCTCTTATCATTTAAAAGTAAAGATCTGTTGGTCAGTCAAGACGTCAAAGAGAACAATCCCATCAAAGAAGCAAAATAACTGTTTAGAATTCAGTTCAGAACAATACCATAGACAAAAGTATGATAAACATCAAAACGCAAATACATTCTGACAATGGATAAAAGTTTCCAGGTGGGGAACAAGACCTCTTCTTAGTCCAACCAGGTGAACAATCAAAGTTTTGTTCTGAATTTAGCAACGGGGTGAGCTAGTTGATCTTGATCTCGCACTTGGACGAAGCCCTTGGAAGCATTAGCAGATCTTTAGCTTTTTGAAACTTCATGTCATCTCTACCCAAAATACTAACTTCCAACAGCTCAAGACATGATAGTTTCCCTAAAATATTCTTTAACTGTAACAACTCCTCGGTACTTCCTCTGTACTTTGTTATCTTTACAACCTTCACAGGACATGACAGAAGGAAAGAATATCCCGACAAGCAGTAGTCGCAAACAGAATCATATGGATGAAAATGCAAGGCACCCTGAACCAACAGAGAGTTGAGGATTAGCAAAAATTGAAGATTTTGAAGTTTATCCAATAAACTTACAAGGTTAAGAGGTCACTCATTACCTTGATGGTGAGAGTCTCTATGTTAGGACAACGGTTTAGTAGAATTACCAGTCCACTCCAGCAGGAATCTTCGTTCGCTGAGATAGATAAATGAAAGAGGTTTTCAAACACTGGGATTGCTCCGCGGAAGAGATAGAATATCTGAAACAAAAAAATCAAATTAACTAGTCAGTCACTGACCACTTCCAATATCAGTTAAGAAATGCTCATATTCAACAAGATCCTAAATTTAGTACACGGATATATGATTCCAATACATCAGGTTCTTTCAATTTACTTTAAGTTGTAATAACATATTACACCGAGGAAAGAAAAGAAAGAAGGAAAACAATTTACCTCCAAACTACCTATAGATAACAAGTTCATCTTTTGAACATTTCTCATCCCCTGGAATAGATTTGTTGGATTGCTTGTAATATTATCACCTTCTCGTGCTAAACATGAGTTCCAAAAGTGGTTTACTGTCACAACAAGATCGAGATTTGCTTCAACAAGGGAATTGAGATTGACAACCAGATAGGAACTGGGGACAAGATCTTCGTAGTCTAAATGGGTAACACTGGGAGTATCAATAGTAATGTTCCCAAAATCAGACATATCAACACCCTCGAATTCTCTATGTCTAATAGTAAGTTTCCGAAGGCTGCGGCTGCACACCGAGCGAGACCATTTCCATAGATCCCACCTCAAATCATCTAAGACCAACTCTTCCAGAATGGGGCAAGCTGAAAGAAGCTTTTCAAAGGCACAAACATGAAGAAGACTACTATCGAACTGAACTGAGTTCAGGAAAAGCTTCTTAAGAGCAGGGAGAGAAGCATCCACAGGAAGAAGCTCCTCGTTAATACAAAAATCAGTTAGTTTCAGCTCCACAAGTGTCTTGCAAGTGAAAATCTCACAAGGCAGATCAGCATCAGCTACGTCCAGACTACGGAGATCAAGATCCAAGAGACCACCACGATTCAGCACATCACGTAACCAAAGCTTGGTGCGATAACCCTTTCTACAGCTCAGGGAGAATTTCTCTATGGAGGAACTTCCTGACACATACAAGACTCTTTCTACAAATTTCAAGAATCTTGGCCGCCGCATATCATCTTCGTACTCTAACAAATCTAGATTTGGGGAGAAGGCAAAGAGAAGGCGCCATCTCTTTGAGAGAACCGAAGTTTGAGCAGACTTCTTCAACGGTAAGAAAGACAAGATGTGGGTAATAACACCATCTGGTAAACTGCTAATCCTGTCCATTCCCTAATCGCATAAACCAAAAGGAAAAAAATATAATTTTACTACTACAGCTTTAATAAGTCGAGTGAAGTTTCCAGCGACTAGACTAAGACTAACGTGAATGCCTCAGAAATGAGCAGAAGCTATCACGAATCAAGGCAAGTTTTAGCAAGACCAATCTTAGAGCTAATCATAGATTTGTTTCTTTAGAAAAGGAAGCAACTTTCACCACTAAGATGACACAACACACAAAAGGAGAACTCTCGATTCATAACAAGTCAAAATGAAACTAATTAACAGAAGAAGCGAGAGCATACCGCTAAAGATCAATGTTGAAACTTTGACAAAGAATCGAAGTTTCTGGACCTTTCTGCGTGTTCGGTTTGGGCGACGATGCTTGACTGTGTTGTGTGTGTAATGAAACGGAGGTTCATTGTCTCCGACACATGCACATCGGGTAAAGTTCCGAGAAATTTTCTGCATAATATCACAATATGTCCTTCGTTTTATAAAACATTTACTTAAAAGTCCCTAAACTTTCTTTTCCCCCAATTCATAAGACTATATATCAGTCGTAAACTCTTTAGATTCAACACATTAAAAAGGGAGAAACAATTTATATACAACAATGATGTAAGAGTTTCGACGATTCAAGAATACAACAGAGGCAAATTATTCACTTTAAAAAGGGAAACATTGCTTCTCGTTTTGCATTTTTTTTTCGGCCATGTTTCATGGAGTTTTATCATAAAGCTTAAAATGTTGCAGAGGTACATTTTCACCCTTTCTGCTTCATATATTTAACATTGTAAAATGACAATATTCACAAAAACCAACAAGCGTAAATTTACAGAACACCCACTCTGCATTGTCTTGTCATCTTCCCCGGTTTCAGTTCAGATACATGACACACAGATAATGATCGATGATTGAGTTCATGGTGTTTCATTGAACTCCATCACCTGCACACAAGGACATTGGAAAAAAAAAATGAGAGCTCTTTATAAGGAGACTTCTCTGTAATAATTAACACATCTTTGTCAAACAAGAAGAAACCATGAAAGGAACATAAAAGCTTCTAATCTTACAAGACCATGCAATCTCAAAAGTATATATGTTCTGAGAATGAAGAGAGGTTACCTTTCCGCAGACAGGACAGTTTTCACTTCTCTCCATCCATTCATAAATGCAACCAAGATGGAAATGGTGAGAACATTTTGTTACAATCTTTGGGTTCTCTGATGTATACTCTGCCCAAAAAAAAAGCCAAACAAGACACGATGAATGTCGAAGCCTGAAGCAACAAAGAAAAAGAAAAAACAACCTTCGAGACAAGTTGGACATGCATCTTCATCTTCAGACAAAGGAAAATCCCATATGTTTCCAGACGCTGACTTTGATTTCATAATCCTAAGACTTGATTTACTAGAGTACTCTTCTTTGGGATCTTTTTCAGAGACAATGGAATTCTTAGTATTTCCCCATTTGCATCCAAAAGATTCAGAATCAGCATCGTTATCACTTCTTAGAGGCTCAGCTTCCTCGTGGGAATGACTTGAACCCTTCTCCCGTCTTGACACGAGTGAACGGAAGTGTCTAGGATCAGCATCATAAGGCAGAGGCCTTGGAGTAGAACGGAATGCTTCAGAGAGAAAGTTATCGTGTGAAGAAGAGGAAGTTATTGATGGAGTAGTAGCTTGAACTGAAGATGGTAGAGCCCGGGTTTCACCTCTTCGGAACACTGAGCTATACTGCAAGTATTTAATATTGAAACTCGTGAGATTATTAACCTTATTGAAAGATAAAAAGGAAATGCGAAGGAACGTACCAGGTTAAGGAAATTACGAGCAAGGCATCTAATGCAGGGGCAGTTCCTATATACAGAGCTATTTGGATTCATGTACTCATCAATGTCTTGGACTCGAAAGCAAGAAGTAACACATCCCATCTTCTCCTCCTCCTCTTCTCTATTTTACTTACCTCAAAACAAAGTCTTGTTTCCTCAAAACGTATGGTAAAATGTCTGCTTCATATCTCCAACTTGCCTTCAATGACAAAATGGTTCTGATTCATTAATAGATGTGCTTAAACCCATCTCAATAAAACTCTTGTTTAGTAGCGATTGAGAGTTTCGATCTGAACTTTTCAACACTCACAGAACTGAATTAAAGTGTAATGCAAGCACATAAACTGATAAAACACTATTTCAGGTAAATCTTAAAAAGAGAAAAGATAAAAACTTTGTTACAAAGAGAGAAACAGACAAAGCTCAATTGAGATAAGATATACAGAGAAGGTGAAAACCACATATTGATTGCACTGATCAAAGACAAAGTCAGTGAAATTGGACCAGAGAATTGAGATTAATAACGATCAGGATTGAATTATCACAACCCATTTCCAGTGATATTGAAATGATCGGGAAATTGAAAAGAAAGAGCAAACCTTTTTGATCGAGAATTGATCTGGAAGGAGAGAAGATACAATTTACCCCAAAATCAATATATTTTTTCTTCCGATTGTGGCTTAGCGTAGAGACTAGAGAGAGATGATAACCGACGAAAGAGAGAGAGAGACCCAAGAAGAAAGAGATTAAAATTTTCCAATATTTAATTAAATATGTTGAGACTCATTAATTATTATATTTCGCAATTTCCCAGGAAATTGAAAAAGTGAACAACTTGAAAAAAGTGAGGAACAGTGAAGATGAATGATGATTGTTGTTGAGAAGGTGGGTGAGAGAGAGCTTTGTTAGATGCTAATGGAGCTCCAAGGATAAAACAAACAAGATTTGACCTTTTTAAAAAATACAACTCCACTAATTAAATAACTCCTATGTTTAAAATAATGATAATAAAAGGACATGATAAAACTATATAATATGATGAGATGATGTGTTAAAGTTGTTGTTCAAGAAAAAAAAATGTGTTAAAGTTCTGAAGAATGAAGATAACCTTTGTACTTTGGTATTTGACCTTTTCGGATTAAGACATTTCGGTTTCCAAAATGTTACATATGAAGAGAGTTAACCTGAACAAAGATGATACATTACAAAAGATTTTCATCAAATACTATTTTAGGCTGTTTAAGTATATTGATCTTGAAGAATCATCACATCTGGACCTTTAGGAATGTGTTTTGGCTTTATTTGATATAATAATGTACTCCACAAAGACAGCATCCACAGACCAAGAGTTCCCTTCACACATACATGAAAATAAAGGAGACATCAAAAGTGGAGATTTCTATTATTACACCGGCAACAGCAAGAAGGTGGATACGCTATGCTCAACTGATTCATTTGCTGTCAAATAACACACCCCACAACAAACAATACGGTTTTAATCACAAGAGCCAATTTTCAAATTGAACCGACCAAAATCGGTTCTATGTCCCTTGTGAAAAGCATTGTAAAAGTCCAGAAGATCCTAATAGGCCTCAAGGTAGCCTAAATAAGGCTAGCTTCCTTACACAGGCCCAATAAAAGTCTAACTTACTGAAAATTACTAACTAATAAAGTTTTATTTCCCAAAAATGAATAGTAACTATACTTATCTAACAAATCAGATTTTAACTAAAAGTATTAAAGGAAAATAATGCAATTTATCAATATTTTACTGTAAAAAAATAACTAATTAATCATAAAACTATTAACGTTTATTTCCCAAAAATGAATAGTAACTATACTTATCTACCAAATCATATTTTAACTAAAAGTATTAAAGAAAAATAATGCAATTTATCAATATTTTCCTGTAAAAAAATCACTAATTAATCATAAATTTATTAACGTTTTATTTCCGAAAAATGAATAGTAACTATACTTATCTTTTTTTTTTTGTCACTGAGTAACTATACTTATCTAACGAATCAGATTTTAGCTAAAAGTATTAATCAAGAATAAAAATGTAATTTATCAACAATTTCCTGTAAAAAATAGAAAAATGATTAGAGAGGAGCATCGTCTTCTCTACATAGTCCTCTCACACCGCCTCTGATTCCTTACTTATAAACCCTTCCTTCCTTCCTTCCCCCTTTGTATAATCTCTCTAAAAACCCCTTTTTCCTCATTGTCTCACACTCTCTCTCCCTTCTCTCGCCTCGCCAGAGATGGCAGATGACTTGGCGAATCTCTGCCGATTTCTCTTCGACGAAACCGGCCTCACCTCGTTATCGTCGACGTCATCTTCAGATCTCTTCTCTCAACGCATACGCTCCGATGATTCGATCAAGCGCGGTCTCCGTTACTTCTATCTACTCCTTCGCTCCGGAATCGCTCCGATCGGCGGAGATGATGATGATGATGATGACTCATCCGGCAAGCTACGGTTTGAGACCTGGTCCGATTCGCAGCTTCAAGCTCTCGTTTCGATTTCTCAAGCGATCCTTCTACTATCGAGATCTCTGTTAGGTACTGAATAGCTTTAAAATCGAGATTTATCTGCGAATTGATTGATTATACTGTTATCGAGCTTTGGAATCTGATTATTTTGGCGAAATTTCGTAGAAATGTTATTGATATACAGATTAAGTAAACAGTGATGGCTTCGAATCATTTTCCTTACTGTTTTTGTGTGTGTGTGTGTGTGTGTGTGTATCAGTGGACCAAGTCGAGCCTATAGTTCTGGGTGTTATCCAGGAGGTGATGGAGTTCTCTCTAAGCTTCTTGGAGAAGTCGAGCTTTACACAAAATGATCTCAAAATGGAGGTTTGTTTATTCTATTGATTTAATTGTGTTACTGGCACTATCTACTTTTAACTCGATATAGATTCATTGTTGAAGCTTGATATGATCTCCCCTTTGTCATGATTGTTAAGTTTTAATATTGCACCTAGGAATAAGTTAAACTCACCAGGATGTCTTCGTTTAACTTTTCCATGAGGGGTTTAGTTCGTTAAGTAATCTCTGCAAATGTTTTTTTTTTTGAATCAGATTAACATGGAAACACTTTTGGAGATTGCTTCTTTTGATGGGAGTGAGAAGCAATATGATATATTCCCAACTGTCTCTCCTGCTGAAGCTGCAGAACTGTGGCCAACATTTTCTGCCGAGCATGATAATATGGAATTGCATAGCCTTGTGAAATGTACTTTTCAAGGTAATTCTTGTTGCTATAATCCACTCAGTAATGTATTATTATCTTACTTCATATTTTGATCTGATGATTTTAGTATCTTTTGACCTATCAAGCAGGGGGCAGGTGTTCAAATGAAGAGAAGCCAGTTGACCGGCTTCTTATTTCGCTGATGTCTGAATGCATTGAATCTGATGTTCAGACTCATTCAGTAGGCAAGCCCTCTTTTCAGCAAGACGACAGTAACCTGAATCCCCTGACTCGACACCTAGCAGTTGTTCACCTGGGCTGTGTTTGTCGTCTGATTATGGTCTGCAAGGAGCTTGTTCAACCGCCAAGTGTGTTAGATGAGAAGACCACTGATCATGCTTTCCTTGATAAATTGTCTTTCTGCTTAAGAATTCTGAAGCTGCTTGGAAGACTTTCCAAAGATGTTCAAAGTATAGAAAACGACGGGACATTGTTACAAGCGGTAGCTACATTCACAGATGCTTTTCCTAAGCTGTTCAGGGTTATCTCCGACTTCACTCATCACACTTCTACAGAGGGTAATATAGAGAGTCTTTCTCTAGCGCTGGTGGAAGGATTTCTTAATCTTGTCCAACTCATTTTTGGCAAGAGTAGTCTATTTCAAAATGTCCAGGCATGTGTTTCAGCTTCTGTTGTGAACAATCTAGATGTCTCAGTGTGGAGATATGATGTGTCCTCTTGTAATTTGATGCCTCCGATTGCTTACTTCCCTCGGTCTGTCATCTACACATTGAGACTCGTTCAAGATCTGAATAGACAACCATACCATATCCAAGATTTGAGGGCCTTAGAGTCAGAAGTCAACTGTGACAATGCCAATTCCTCTGTTGATTCTGTTTATTTCCATCTGCGCCAGGAAAAGATCCCGTTGCTCAAGTGCTTCACGGTCGAGGATATAATGAGAGTGATATTTCCCTCCTCAAGTCAGTGGGTGGACAACTTGTTTCATCTTGTTTATTTCCTTCACCTTGAAGGAGTAAAATTACGACCAAAAGTGGAGAGGACATATTCTAGTTTAAGATCCAACAGTTTTGCTGAAGTTGAAAGCCAAATTTCTCATGATGATGAAGCCCTGTTTGGAAACTTGTTCTCTGAGAGCCGTTCTCTATGTTCCATAGAACCAAACGATCCACCACCCGTTGCTGTCAGCAGCAATTTACCACTGCAAGCTTCAAAGGAATTGTTGAACTTTCTTAGAGTGTGCATTTTCTGTAAAGAATGGGTTCCTAGCATATACGAAGATGGATGCAAAAAGATTGACACTCGTCACATTGATATCCTGCTCAATATAGTAGGCTGTAGTTTTGAAGACAAGGCCTCTGATGGTGGTTGCATGCTCCAAGATGAAGGAAAACCTGGACATGTTGCCTTTGAGCTGTTACTCAATCTCTTAAGAGGTCGTGCTCTGTCTGATTCGCTTGAGTCCTACCTTTTCCAGAAAATTCTTGCTGTCGAAAATGGTGAGTCCGAGTATAATGATAAGACTCTGGCACTTTTGGCCCACACTCTTCTTTGTAGGCCGGGACTGGCTGGGGCACAGTTGAGAGCCAAAGCTTATGATGGTTTCGTTAGTTTCATTGCCGAGAGAGCAAGAGGAATATGTGCTGAAGGTTCGAGTGTCAAGGAGTTGACCTCGTGTCTTCCCTCTGCTTTCCATATTGAGATTCTTCTTATGGCATTCCATTTATCAAATGAAGCAGAAAAGGCCAAATTCTCAAATCTTATTGCCTCGTGTCTGCATAAAGTTGATACCCCGTCAGGAATATGTGATGGTCACCAGCTGTCCTCTTGGGCAATGCTGATATCTAGGTTGTTAGTGCTGTTGCACCATATGTTGTTGCATCCAAACACATGTCCAACATCATTAATACTAGATCTAAGGTCTAAACTGAGGGAAGTTCGTAGCTCTGGCAGTAATTTGCATGTAACCGTTGATCATCTGTCTTCTTGGGCGTCTCTTGTTGCAAGGGGAATAACTGAGTCATGGGCTGAAGAGGAGTCAGTCAACCATCTGATGAGTCAAATGATCGACTTTTCCCCACATCCTCCTACATTTCAGATTGATGTGTCTGCTGCCAAAACCCTAAACTTGGATTACGGATATCTGTCTGCAAGTTTGTCCCGGATATTGGGGTTGTGGAAGGGGAAGAAGGCTGGAAAGGTGGAAGACCTGCTAGTGGAAAGATACATTTTCATACTTTCTTGGGATATTGCTCGTGTTAACTGTGCATTGGATAGTCAGCCTTCGCTGCATGTCAGCAGCCAGAATGTTGACATATGTAGCACTGTGGATATCATCTACACCAGTCATTTGCTTGTAGGCGACTCCAACATCGCTGGTAAGAATATGAAGTTCAGAGACATTCTGATTGGTGTTTTAAATCAGCTCCATGCTGCACCTGAGAAGGCGGTTGAGGATTTGGGTTGGGATTTTATTCGTGAAGGATCTTGGCTCTCTCTTCTGTTGTATTTCATCAATGCTGGGGTCTGGGGTTATTGCAAAAATAATTCATGTTCAGAAATTGATCCCTTCTGGAGGGAGTGTACATCTGTCGACGCCAAGCATATTGCTACTGCCGAGGGCGTACTCTCCTGCTTTGAAACTGATGACTTTGCAGAATTGCTGAGAATGCTTTCATCGTTG